TGTAATTGTGCTTGTTTTTCATTATGTCAGATACGTTGTACAACATGGACTGCAAATGCATCATGGCATCTCCTATTCAGGGGTAGGACATATTTCTGTATGTGCGGAGAAAGTATATGTTATATTTCGCACAGTAGAACATCCAAAAACAATTATATTATGTAGAATGGCTCAGATTTGTCCCCCCTCTCCTGCATCGTACTTTTTATCCCGAAAACATAACTAGAATAGTGATCCGTGCCACCCAAAAGGGGAAGAGGAAGTTTACAGCGAGTCGATCGGCATAAGAGACGAGCGGGGGTGTTCAATACTCAATACATACTAAATTACTAGGTATACTGTATTAACATCATAAGATCTTAAAGTCAGCTTTTGATGCTAAGCATCTTCCCTAATATAGTTTATCTTTCTATTAGATTGATTAAATTGAGATCTTCTAATATAGAGCCTGTGCTTAAGGGGAGACACCGACTATCTCCCAAGGGGGCCTTGTATAACTAGAGACTCCCGAGGTAGAAGGAGGAGGGAGTACGGAGTATATATAATACAGATTGTACTCTGTACTCCGTACTCCGTACGTACTTTGTATATTCGAGAAGCAAGATCCCTGCACTTGCATGCTGCCAGGTGGAAGCTACCCATATATTATTATTATTATTATTATTTTTATTATTTCTATCATTATTATTTCTGCCACATCATGATCGACCGACGGAATATGTATCTAGACCATGCATGGGTAATATCATATCCACGCACCGGAGGCTAGATAACTACAACATACAACATATGTTGTAGGCGCTTTTTTTTTAGCACGTAGCATGGAGAGTATGTATGTTGTATGTCTTAGTTAGATTTCCTCTTAATAACTAAATATAAAAACATGTGTACAATGTAATTCCCACTTTGCAGTAAAACAATAAAACAAGGCTTTGCTGTAAGCATGAAGTAGGCATCTTTAATGGGTCGCATAATGTACTTTGTACTTCCCACTCTACAGCAGCATGTGCTATGCATGCTTACGTGTAAATCCTTCAAAAGATAACAATTTTGAAAGTGAAACCTAAGGAAAGTAGGAAATTACCGCCTCAGCCCTCGTGGCTGCCGTGGGGAAACGATAATGATCTGAGCGGCAACTTACACGGGTGAGATTCTGTTATATGGAGTACAACGTTTATATTCCATACAGTCCTCTGTATTGGACAAAGAATTGAAGTTTACCCTAAGGTTTTCCCCACTTGTAATGATTGTCTCCACGCTAAAGCTATATTACCAGACTGTTTACTTAATTAGGAAGGTTGAATTTCAATCACCCAATGGCTCCCGGACCCCACAACGGAGTCCATCCCTGTGGTGACTTCGCTTGCTTGGCGAATCATTGACTAAAAGACATGCATGTCGTTGCCTGTCGCCCCATATCGAGACAGGGGACGGCAACGGTCATGCATTGGGACGTTGCCGAGCTACGTTCAGGATTATTACAAGGAAGTCAAGGTTGATAAGGAGAACCAAAATTCATTTGTACATTTCACATTGTTGGTGGAAACTTGACTCAATTGGTCATGGAATGCCGGGGCCATTGCGCCTTCAATGTACGGAGTACGGAGTACTCCGTCCTGCGTAAAATTCTTTGTATGTTGTAGAGTATCCTATATGCATGTAAACCTAAACCTGACAATGAAGCTAGAAAGTCCATGAGGAAAAAGTCAAATTCCTGCCGTAAATATGTACTGAAGGATGAACTGATGTAATGAACGCAGAGAGGCCCAGGAAACTCAATGGGCAAGGACAGAAGCAGAAGCATAAATAATAATCAAAGCGCCGATTCCAACGCCGTGCTCCCTTGGGAATGAGTCATGAGCTGATGCAAGAGACAGGCAGGAGATATGTACCCCAAACAAGAACAGCAATATTGGAAAAATCAAAGACAGTAAGAAGGTGCAGTAAAATATGAATCGCAAATAAAAGAATGAGTGGTGTAATTGGTATGCGCGCCCCCCCGTAACTGCAAAATCAGATCGCAATCAAAGATGCAGAAAGGCAAATAGAAAGAAAGCCAATCAAAGAGAAAGAGATGATCTCAAACAGATCAAAGGTATCAACTGGCTGGAATGGTTTTGCTGTAAGGGTTTCAACACACGCTAAATCGCTAATATGAGGTCAAGTGTTCGCTGTGCCAGTAATTACACTCGGATCCGGGAGGATCGGAATGCAGAGATGTCAATCGACTCAGCCGAGAGAGACGAGTTATCATCGACTTCAATGGCGCCTCCCGTGGTCATTGAGGGCTTGTTCGCAGCAATGGCAGCAACCATTGCGAGTCGCGCCGCAGAGGGGGTAGGCGGTGGCTTGGGAGGTCCTTCCGCGGTCCCTTCTTGTTGTTTTTGCTCGTGTTCTTCTTGTTGTTTCTTTTCTGCCATGAGACGGTCGACCTCGTTGATCGCCCCCTCAAGTAGCATCTTGAATTTCTCCTCCACGCCGTCCAGTTCCGTCCCACAGTCGCCGGATCGAAGGACTTGGTAAGCTGCCGTCTCGCAAAGCGAATGGGCAAGTTCCAGTTGCTTGTCTGCGAAGTCAAAAGGGGAATCTTTCCGGAGTGTGCTGGTCCCCGAGATACCGACAACTCCCGATGTGGTCCGGGTGCTGCGAACACAAGAGAGTGGCCCTGTCTGTCCTAGTCCACTTGGCATATTCATCATGCCTTTGCTCAACAAGCCCGAGCGCAGTCCTGTGCGCGGCATCAATGACATCTGTCCTCGGCGGAGGTTGTTCCTGGCCACCCCGATATCGCGTACAATTGTCTCGAGTGTCTGCTGTGTATGACCATCATATTCAATGATGATATTGTGCCGTGTGCTTACCAACATGTTGTATGCTTCGTCGGACTCGACTGATGGGGCCTCATCTATAGTGCGCTTGCGTCCTGAACGTTGGCTTTGCTCGGGCGCATCCTGTGGTGTCTCAACCGCCACAGGTTCTGGGCTGGGAACCTTTCTTTGTGCGATCGGGACGAGGTCATTGGTGTGAATGGAGCAAACAGAGCTGTTTTTGCGTCGGCGGGGCTTGAAGTTTACGTGGCGTCTGTAAGCATCGGAGTATTCATCGTGTCTCTTGTGGGTGTGTGTAGCAAGCTCTGAGACGCGAGTGATCCATGCAGGAATATTGTCTTTCATGTGGGTGAAGGCCCCTAGTGCATCCATTGATGCCATGGGCATGATAGCAAATTGTTCGATTGTTGAGTCCCCAGGGGTTGCCACACTTCCACCGGTCGATATCCAAAGAATCGATAGTCAAAGTATTATATTCGAGTAGGTGTGTCCAGTCTTCGTTTCGTCGTAAATCGTGAGTTCGACCAGAATCGCAAGGGTTCGCGAAGAGATAAGAGGTGACGGAGACGGAGAAGGTAGATCGCGGTGGAAGAGAAGGATTTCTTTGGTAACCCCTCAATGAGTACGTTGGATAGGATCTGCAGTTTAAAAATGCAAGTGACGGTGAAGCAGAGGAGGAGGGGAAGTTGAACAGGCACAAGAAATAAGAGAACCTTGGAATTCGAGAAATCGACTGGAATTGGTATTGGTATGGTAAATACTTGGTTTGATGGGTAATGAATTTGGTATTCATTTATATGGGGCTAGCCAGGTTTGGTACGGAAAGAACAAGACAAACCCTGTGTGATGTATTTGATAGTCGGAATCCTGCACATCCAAAGGGCCAACTGCATCTGCAACTTCTTGTTTTTTTTCCCCTGAACTTGTAGGTGATTGGACCACTTGTACCATAATGCTTCAAGCGGTGAGGTGGATTGCTGCATGTGTCAGTGTCAGTTTATGCAGACTAGAGACTAGAGCAGTGTTGCCCTAGGGGACTGAGTGTACGGAGTACTCCGTACACTAATCCCTACACTACTGTAGCTTGCTCTATGTAGTTAACCATTAGACGTAGTAATAAGTCTTGCATACTTTGTAGGCTCCAAAAAAGTTCATGATGCTCAGTTTGACAGAAGATCATGATCCAAAGAAACGCATCTAAGCCACCCATTCCTCGGAGAACCAAGTCTCCCAGCAACGGAAGACATGGGGAGATTCCTAATTGTTGAAACAGGCCAGTCGAAAGTCGAACAAAAAAGACTGACAATTTTGACAAGAACCCTGTAGATATCAACACACGCCTTTCCTAAGAGAGGTTTGACACGTAAACGGTTCGGGGACCAGAAACCGGGGACTCGGGGATCACGGGGAATACGAGGAGACTGTGTAATGTGAAAGTCAAATACCAAAAATTGGAGATTTCTGGCACACTATTGGGGAGCCGGACGATCCCTCCCGCGGAACTCCCGGGAGAGTCCCTGGTTGGATGCCGGGGGGGGGGGGGGTCCCACAATTTTTTNTGGTTGGCTGATCGGTGGAAACTGAGGGTCAGGGATTGGTGGTATCATAAACTTTCCCTAATGAGCATTCGCCAATACAAATGTAGTACTGGGTACTTCCCTGTACTCATATCTGGTGCCCAACCCTCCAGACTCGCTTTCAAATAATATTTTAAAGACTAGTACATTGAAGTTTCTAGGTCTAGGCTTTACACGTGATATAACACAAATCTTGAAAGGGGTGACTTCTAGTCTCGAAGATTGGGCTTTGCAAATCATTACAACCTACAACTACGGAGCATACATGTCGACTTTACAGGGTTTTATTTCTACAGGGGACGATTCGACTTCGAATAATCCATGGATTAGGGTGTCCAGGAACGGCACACTCTCGAAAACAAAACAAACCAAATCCATGGGTGCCGGCTAGGCTCACGTGGCTTGAAGCCACGTGAAGTATCCAAACCTGGTCGCGCACATCCCATATCAGGGAAGAATTTCCTCTCAGACAAAAACCAGTAAAATCCCACCCAATAACATCTCAACCGACCGCAAATATCCATCCAAACACATAAGAACGAAAGAAATCAGGACCGAGGCGCTGGAAAGGTGCAATGATGAAGGTTGAGAATGCTTAACGACCAGAGACGGCCCAAGTCTGAATCCAGCCTTCGACAGTACGCTCGATAGCCTGGGCAGCGGCGATGGTATCACCGTGAGCCTCGTTGAAGGCCTGCATGCTCCTCTGAAGTTCCTGGAGGTCATCCTCAAGCTGGCGGGCCCAGACGCGGTGGACGGACATGGTGGAAGCGGCCTGAATATTATCGGCGGAGAGGTTGAGGGCCCCGGGCTGGGGCTCGGCAGCGGGCTTAGCACGACGACTACGCTTGGTGGATTTGTTGACCACCGACTTCTGCTCGGCCTCGGAGGGCACGGAAGAAAGCTCGTCGCTGGAGTCGGCGGGAGCGGGACTCATCTCCAACATCCATGTATTAGCTTTGCCAGAAAGCGAAAGAGAAGTCAGAGGTTGATGTTACTTACCTTGGCCTTGGCCTCAGCGGCCTTGCGGCGTCCTCTGGTGGCAGCACCGGGAGAAGCGACAGGCGCTGTGACAGACGCCGGGGGGGGAGCAGGGGTCGGGACGGGAGGGGGAGTGGGATCGGAGGGGGAAGGCATGTTGACTGGGACGGCTTCAGCCTCAGTGACCTTCACAGGTTGGTTACGGTGGATGCACCGCTTCTTCTTGGCTTTACAGTCAGCACAGGCAGGGTTATCGTTGGGCATCTCGGTATCAGACACTGTTTGAACGTGTCGGTGGTCAGTATTATGTTGGAATAAGGCGGGTCAAGAGATCAGTTTTGAGGGAAGTCACTTTTGTTAATGAAATAGGATGAAACGAGAAGTGAGAGGTAATTGTCATGCGTGTGACGCGTGTTAATCGCTGCGGTCGAGTTGCGACAAGTCGGCAGAAGTGAAGATTCTTTCAGACGTGCGACAGCAGGAAACCAAAACGACAACGTCAAACCATGCAAATCAAGCACATGTAACAATCCCAGTCATTCCCAGTCATTCCCAGTCATTCGACGCAGCTTCTAACAAACACCCACGGAAACTACCAACATTTTGCTTGATTTTTCTACCATATGTTCGATCAAAGCGTATAGATACGAGCCATACAACCTAAGATGAAAACATCCAATCTAGGTAGCGCAAGCCATGTAAATATCAAAATAAGGCAGCGTGATACATTATTCGGATACAAATTTATCCAAATGTGTAGAAAATAAACAACTTTACAGTACTGGCAAGATCACGGCCATAACTCAACCTCATTCCACCGGGAACCATCGTTTCCGTCAGTCAATGTCCAGTTCCATCTTTTGCCGTTCTCTTGATCAGTAAGATCTAGACGCTCAACCTCCTCGGGTCGAATGACGACAACTCGGAAATTTGCCCGTGCAACAGGGTCATGGAGGTCCAGAACCTGTTGACCCAGTTTGAGATCTAGTTGGCTGGGAGTTGAGGATCTAGGTTGTCCAGGGGGAGGGTTTCGGAAAGAACCTAGATTCCCATTCAGTATGAGCTGAAGATGACAGGCAAAGAGGGCTTTTCAATATGGCATAAAAGCAATGTAGGAATAAAACACCTGAATCCAAGAACCAATATAGATACAACATACCTCTTGCAATAGGAGAGTGGTTTGCAAAGTACTTTGTGACAGCCTTTTCCCATGTCCACTTCGCAATGTCGCTGTCAGTACCACCCTTCGCCCTCAATTCCTTTCTTATCTCTGTTCGAGATATCTTCTCTTCTGCATCTTCTCCGCTTGGGTTGCCAATTGCATATGCCGTCCCCTTGATGCGCCACTGAGTCATGAGACCCTTCAGCCAGAACACGGCCTCAATCGCATGACCCGAGGACTCCAGTTGAGGAAGCTTGTCCATTCGAGCATCAGTGGTAAATGATATCAGATCGCTTTCGAATACGGGTGGATTACCACCGCCTTCCACTTGCTGATCCATAGCTTCCTGGCCCTTAGGGTGAAGCTCAAGCTCTGGGAAGAAACCACGACAGCCGCAAGTCCGCAGGCGAGGCACAGGACGTTGTTGAGCATTGTAGCCGATTGTTGCTACTGTGAATTCATATCCAGGTGTTTGTTCAAGATGAGAGTCAAGGAGATCGCGCCATGGGGCACGTGGGTTCTCGGACGGTGTGATCATTGTGGCTGCCTTTGTTGAGAGACTCAAAGAACTGCCGGAAGTACTTCTACTGTATGCTTTGATTGCACTAAGGCGCCGAAGGGCCACTTGTAGAGAGCTTGAATGACCGACTGAAGCCGAAGCTGGAACCATACGTTAGTACGAAGGTATTGGCTTTTTTTGCTTGCAAACGCCGACGATCGGATTGATGAGGGGGAAAACCGAGTTCTAATATCGCATTCAGCCTGAAAGATCAGATAGTAATACGGAGAGAATGCCGATTGCGTTTTGCGTGTACATATGTTGTACGAAGCAAACCTGCAGTAGAATTAGAGATAAGCGCAAAAAGAAGAGTGACATGGACCACGGTTGATCGAGATGGGTGACATCACGTTTAGATGGTCCGTGCGTAGCTGTGTGCATTTGGCCAGCATCTGTTGTGGAGACTCGCAATCGCCAACCAAAAGGCCTGGCCACATGGAATGATTGAAAGAAGTTGCAATGCATCGATTTCAAAGAATATGCATTTGGAAAAGATTTGTGAATGAACGCCCATTTGACATGATATTGGCTGTTAGTCGGCCGATCTTCTCATTCCATGTCTACTCGATAGACAAATTGGTCAGGCGGTACTCAACAGCACAAAATGTCCCTTGCAAGGTTCCAGCAAGACAACTAGAATCCAAAACCCATCCACTAGGATGGGAACGAATCCAAGCTCAGGTTGAGCCTTATTTCGGCAACAATTGGAATTTTGCCAACGAGAAGGACAGAAAGGGGTTCCTTCATCTTGGGGTATCCCGCGCCTTTAGTCACTTTTTCCCATTGACGCAAGATGATCGCATTGATGTGACATGCAAGATGCTTTATTTGTCTTTCCTCATTGATGGTAAGTTCTCATGGCTGGGAGTTGGGCTTAGAAATATATTGACCTTCGAGATAGATCAACTCGAAAAAATGAGTTTTACACAAATGCTACCGTATCGGGACCGGGTCATGAAAATTGCCCTTGGAACAGCGAGCCCCGACAGAAGTGTCTGCCTTGAGTGGATGCTTCACGATACTGTCATGGCCATGCGAAGTGTGGATGAGGTTCTGGCAAATGATGTTACCCAGGGATTTTGTCAACTTCTGCAGGCCCAGACATCTCAGGAGAGGACCACTATCAAAACTCTCGGATCATACCTCAAATCCAGGGAGATAGATATGGGCAGAACGTATGTATTGTCGCTGTTATCCATTTTTGGATTTTATTATTGAATACTGACAACCATTTAGACTCTACACAGCTCTCATTAGATTCGGTGCCAAGCTAGATCTCACTACCGTTGAACTCGAAAAGACCGCCGCGCTAGAAAGCACCGCATTTCGGCACGTCGGTGTAATGAATGATATATATAGCTGGGAGCGAGAATGGAATGTATACCAGGCAAACTTAGCCGATGGGGCCCAGCCATTCTCCGCCATCTACATTCTTGCCAACGAGACAGGACTACCATATGCAGCCTGCAAGCGATTGATGTATAGCTACTGTCGTGAATTGGAGCTCGCTCTCAAGCAATCCACAGATGAAATTCGACACAACAGCATGGACAGCTTGACACATAAACTCGAGATGTACATCAAAGGTCTGGAATACTTTATGTGCGGCATCGAGTTATGGAGTCAGTGGACTCCGCGATATCGACAATGAGGTCTTGTATTTTCCAAATCAGGCCTATCTTGACGCAGGTTCCATTAGTAATCGGATCCTTCGCCTCTATCTATATGAGTGTCTGTTTGAATATGAGATTGACCAGGCCGTGTATCGTCTGTAACTACGTACCAAGAGGGACATTCATTAATTACACCAATCCGATGGCATTCAACCTGATGATAGATGGGATGAAATTGTCCTGAGTAAGTTGAGATAGCTCGTAGGGTACGCATAATCCAAGCAGATTCGAGTTGAGGCTGTGGAACTAGCATGAATTTGACTCAGAATCACACGCCTCTAATATATTCCAACATCTATTTTCTTTCAGGTCAATCCATCACCGCTTCTCTTCACCTTTCTTCACATCACTCCGCTTCCACATCAACTCTCTTCACCTCAACACCCAAACCACAAGCTGAGATTCTAGCGGGCAATGCGTTGCATGTTATCTAGTCGTCATGGCACTAAACATACCCAAGGAGAATATTGAGAAGCCAGGTACGAGCTCTAAAGCAACGAACCGAGATCATGAGAGGTGAATTCGCTGAAAAGAAGATCTGACGAGTTTCAGTCCTGCCCACCAACAGCGAGCCACCAGACAGCATTCATGAGAATGCGGAAGCAGCCGATAAAGGCTCGAAAAGCCGAATCAAGAATCCAAGCATCGGACTGGACTCGGGACAAGCGCCAGGATACTGGGCACGGCGAATCAACGCGCGCCCTTGGTCGAAAGGAATCCATGATTATGCGACACGAGGAACCCTGCTCAACAACATGACACAAATGAAACATCTCAGAGAGCCTGTCCTTCGCATTTCCAAGACTTGGAATGGCAATCAGCTTGATGCTATTATCTGCTACAAGAAACCCAACATTGAGGCAATTCACGCGCAGGTAGTGGGGCCCGAGCTTGATGATAAAGAATGCTGCAGTAGCTGCAGAAAAGGACACGGCCCCTTCTTGGCCTGTGTCAAGGTCCCCAAATCTCCAGACGAACCACAAGTTTGCGCAAATTGCCAGTTCGGAGTACAGGACAAACGTTGTGATTTAAGCAAGCTTCAGCCAAAGCAAGAGATTGGTGCAGACGAGGAAAACCCCGGAAAGCCCAGCACATCCAATGAGCCGAATATTTATAAGACTATCGAAGCACAAAAGGAGGTACTGGAAACACAACTTCCACAGGCAACAGTGAACTCTCCTACCCAGACTGTGCAAGGATTACCAGAGGGACAGAAACTTCTCATGATCACGTATTTTCAACGTCAACTTAGACACTTCGATGCCAATATCATATCTCTCGCCACATTGCTTAATGACATGAAGATACAGCGGGAGGTAGCTGCGAGAATACTCGAGGACCTGAAGGGAACGGGGACAAAGGACCGAGCTGGGTGACACACGCCAAGGGGGCGAAAAGACAGTCATGCAGCTGGCTGGGCACGACAATATTCTTGAGAAATGAAAATTTAGCTCAATTAATTCCATGCAGACTCTTCTTGTCCAAGTCCCTTGGGGTGTAGCATGTTTACGGAAAGAGATAATCATTTAGGGAAAAGAGAATGATATTGATAACTCGAAATTATTCGAAATAATCTAAAAGGCAAGTAAACATTATCAGACTGATAATCTTGTTTCCAGCTAAAGAACAAGAGATTTTTACTAAAAAGTTTCGCTTAATTGACCAATTTGTTGATTTTGATTTTTGAGATAATATAAAATTAAATATTAGGTACATTTAGTCGATAACTTATTCCTGAGCTTCCTCGTTCTTGGCTTTCACCGACTCTCTCTCATCTCGATACCCCTTAATTGCGTAGATCGCACTAAGGAACATCCCTAACCCCCCAAGTCCAACAGCCAAATATAACGCGCCCCTATATCCTTTCAGAACATCGTCAGGAGTGTGACCTCCATTGTTGACGTGAACTTCCACAGTACCGGCGAGTCCCAAACTCAGTGAGATACTGTAGTTCACGATAGTAGTCACCAGTGATGCAGCGACACCTTGATGCTTGCGCTCGACGGCATTCGACAACATCAGAGTCGCTGCTGGGAATGACATATCCATACCCCAAGGGATAACTAACAAGCACACGAATGTCAGGGCCCAATAGGTTTGGTGCACCGGAGCAATCGCCATCAAAACATTGCCCAAAGTGAAGGCAGTCATCGACAACACCATGATCAGTCCGGGGCGTATACGGCCCATTAGCCACCCGGTGGCAACACAGGCGATGATACCCATCGGGCCCACGGGAGCAAACTGGGCAGATGCCATGAGAGGAGTCACCTGACGGAATTTCTCTTCGAATCGCCAGAAATAATAGATCCAGATTCCGAATGAACCCCAACCGCAGGCAACACAGCCAAGAACAAACGAGACATCACGACTGAATGCGTGGAACGGAATGAGGGGGTGTTCAGCGACTCGAAATTCGATGTAGAAGAACGAGGCGATCAACAAAATTCCAATGAGCAAAAGGACGTAGACGTAGGGCTCGCTCCATCCCACGATGGGCGCCTGGTTCCATGCTATGTTCACCAGAACTAGGCCACCGATACCGCAAGCTCCACCAAGTGCATCGAGAGCTTTAAGCAGGCCCAAGAAGGATTTGTCGAAGGGAGTGTCGTGGTGGATGGACGGAATCACGAGAAGGCCTAGTCCAGCGCAAGCGAGAGCAACGATAGCCTGGGTCCAATATGTCCAGGGCCACCAAGCTAACTGAGAGAAGATTGCACCGAAGACCGATCCTAAGAGGGCACTATTTGGGGCAGCCGCACCGAAGATGGCGAAAATCATATTCTTTCTCTTTCCTGGTTGGTAAGTGGCTCCAAGCAGAGCTAATGCGTTGGGCATCAGCAATGCGCCACCGATGCCTTGGAAAACACGCGCAAAGATAAAGAGGATGGAGTTCGAATAGACGCTAAGACCTGCAACAAGAGACCAGAGCGCAACCCAGCAGAATCCGATGATGAATATTCGACGATAACCGAATAGATCGCCGCACCGGCCAGACACCAAGATGAATGTGCCAACAGTCAAGGAGTACCCAGCCATGAACCAGCTCAAAATGCCAGGGTCATCGATACCAAAGCTATCACCCACAATATCGAGGGGCGAAAGACATACTCCGACATTGGTTTGTGTCATAAATTGACCCATGCAAACAATGGCAATGAAAAAGACCTCGTGGATGGGCGAGAAAGTCGAAGCGAGTGACCGTGCCGACTCGACTGGCTTTAGATTCATGTTTTCGTCCCCCATGATCAATCAAAATCATATATTCAACCTCTCCAGGTGGTTGGAAAAAGAGTGAAAGGGAAAGGTATGAAGTGGAAGATTTGAGGCGCCGGTAGTCCTCTTGAATCCATCTCCCGAGAGAGGAGGGGGGGGGGNGGGGGGGGGGGGGGGGGTTAGCCATTAGCCCTATGGCGTGAAGAGGAAAAGAATTGGGTCTTTCAGGTCTTTTCAGGAGAGGTGGGAATAGTGTTGCCGCTGATTATTGCTTGTCCTGTTAAATTTCACAACCAACACTCTTTTGTGGGCCACATTGTGAATTTGATCCACCGGGAACCGTGAGACGTTCGACTTCGGAGTTGACTTCAATCATATCAGCAAGATGAAACTAGACTCTCACCAAAAATGAGGAGTGTAATGTTGATCATTATGATATTTCTATGATATTCGAATGTGGGGAAGATGGGGAGTCACTCTTCATTCGAAGGCGGGTGTGTCGATATTTCAAAGAATCTTATATCCGACAAGTCGGATATCCGGCAATACGTTCTACGCGACTATAATGCACAACGCTTCCCTGGATTTTATCTTTTACGTATCAGAAGGTACGTGTTTCAAACGATGGTTCTCTATTGAATCACTTAAAAGCCTTGTTCACAAACTGACGGCATAGGACAAGTCCGGACTATTGATGAGAACATCAGGGATGACTTCTCGTTGGAGGTGCGATAAGTCTTAACACTTTATCGTACTTCTAAGAGATTAACTAGAACATCCAGTCGTGACCACATGAACACTCGCCCAGTTAAATTAACCTCAATATCTTTATAGTCCTGATAGAATAGTCCTGATAGAATAGTCCTGATAGAATAGTCCTGATAGAGACCAATCTTTACTACGGAGTAGTTATGCTGACATTGATAGAGCGAAATAAAGGAAAGTGAATCCCACATATACAAGCCAAAAGGAGCGAAGAAAAGAAGCAAGTAAAAAACCTTCACAATGGCGTTTACACATTCCCTGTTAAGAACGAAGTCTTTCTATCTGCATCAATCAGTTTCAACCTAATGAGAAGGGGCTGTAACCATGAATTCTACCTTGAATTGAAAGACGTTCGTCTGATATAATAAGACATAGCCCGGGTTACAAGCGAGGGTTGATCATAAGTATGGGGAGATGCTAAAAGTGGTGCAGTGATTCATAGAGGGCTGCTTGGTAGGGGAGTTGCGTGGAATCTGCAAAGAGATAACGCATTGGGTATAATGCCACACAGATTGAGGGACGATGGATCTGCTCCAGCATCTATGGTAAACTATTCTGAAACCGTCTTTTTCGAAAACTTATCACTTATCAGTGTCATAGCTAGAAGTATGAGAAAAACCATAGAGTTAAAAAGGTTTCTAGGTTTATATATAGAAATGTCTCTTGTATAAAGCACGTTTTTTCCTACTACTTTCACATACATCTAAAAAGACATCTACAAAGACTAACTAAAAAGAGGTCATAAGGCCACATAAGCGACTAATTCTCTTTTTGAGTCTTGAAAATGGCATATAAATGGCATATAAATGGCATATCTATACTACCAAGCTCGTCATCTTAGAAACCAATCACTTGATATTGGCTAATCGCCTCTCTTTCCTGCCCGATAAGGTATCTACCAATATTTAGCCAATCAAAGTCCTTCAAGTCAAAAAGGAGTTGGATCTCCACTGATTATCAATCAATGCGGGGGGTTCAACCGGGAGTTCCGATCAAAAAACATCTTGACTTTTCTAAATATTTTCAGACCTCAGTTACTCAGTTACTCAGTTACTTACTTTTTTTATCTTCAATAATTGCTTTTCCCCCTCATAGTCAATACCCTGTCACCTGTAAGAGTCACCTGCAAAACCGTTAGATCAGCAATGACAGCTCCACCATTGGATCTATCGCACCACTTGTCTTACGCGACCAAGAACAAGAAACCCAGCAGTGTCAAGGGTTTCTATAAATATTTCCAGATACCCGGAATTGCTAATTTCGCTGGAGGTAAAAGATCATTCCAAAATTGACTTTCTGCATATAACTCACTCGACTAGGGTTGCCACATGTATCCTATTTCCCTTACGATACACTCGAAGCAAAAGTCGCTCTACCTCACCGCTTCGAATCTACCGCCAAAGATACCGCAGATGCAAATTCTGTCCGAGTAACAGTCCCAAAGGAGAGCCCTATACCAGATGTCACTCGCAAAATCGACTTAGCAACCGCCCTTCAATATGGAACCGCCGAAGGATACCCTCCTCTAAGTACCTTTCTGCGCTCGTTCACTAGAGACCATCTCCATCCAAATGTACCTTATGCGGGTGGTCCTGAGGTGTTGTTGACCTGTGGATCGACCGATGGCTTTGCCAAAGTCGTTGAAGCATTCACGAATGTATGGAACCCCGACCGGGATTGGATCCAGCAGCGGGAGGGTGTCTTGTGTGAGGAATTTGCTTATATGAATGCTATTCAGACGGCATTGCCCCGTGGCTTGAATGTCGCTGGTGTCGTGATGGATGGTCAGGGTATGCTTGCTAGTGGGAAAGGCGGGTTACAGGATGTGTTGGAGAATTGGGATTTCCGGCGTGGCAGACGGCCTCATTTGATGTATACTGTGACGTGAGTATACATCCTTTGCAAAGAAACGGAAAAAGTAGGAAAAAAAGGATGATGGGAATATGTGCTGACGAAATGATAGAACTGGTCAAAATCCCACTGGTGGAACACTCTCCGTCGAACGCCGAAAGGAGATCTACGCCCTCTGCCAGAAATATGATGTTATTATCGTCGAGGACGAGCCATACTGGAACTTGCAATTCCCATCCGCTTATGAAAAGACGGTTCATTACCGTGGCTCATCCTCAGAACCAAATCTATACACCAAGAACTACAACGCAGAGGGAAAGTCCTCAGGCTATGCTTTCCTGGACTCACTAGTCCCCTCATATCTATCCATCGACACAGAGGGTCGAGTAGTGCGACTCGACACATTCTCCAAGACTGTTGCACCGGGTAGTCGTCTTGGCTGGATCACAGCACAGCCGGCTATCATCGAACGTCTCACTCGCATAACAGAAGTGTCAACTCAACAACCATCCGGATTTGTTCAATCCCTAATAGCGGAAATGAT